TACTGCAGCTCGTATTTATTTATGTAGATGGTATACAATATGCTCTCTATATCTTTCCCCCTCCTGTGCATTCTGTATCTCGGATATTGCATTTTTGATCTCTTCTCTACCGCCACCCATCTTATTGTTAGGTGATTTTATTGCTCACCATCATCTGTGGGGAGGGTCCCACTGTGACTTGTGGTGATGAGTTGAAGAGACTTCTCGCTTCTCATCCTCTTCATGTTTTAATTATGGGTACTCCTACCAATTTTGACTCGCACTCAGTCTCTCTCCTGCACTGATCTTTCTATCTGTTCCTCATCAGTTGCACTTGATTATGCTTGGTCTGTTCTTCTAGATTTACATGACAGTGATCACTTTCCTATTCTTTTTACTTCTACTACACATTCCCGACCGCTTCGTAGCCCTCGTTGGCAATTTGCACAAGCGGATTGAGACTTATACTCTCATCTTACCACCTGTTGTGGGGACCTCCTTTCGTCCTCTATTGATGACCTGGTACACCAGTTTTCAACTTTAGTTTTGACTGTGGCATCATGTTCTATTCCTCAAACCACAGGCAGGCATTCTCAAACATGCGTGCTTTGGTGGTCTCTTGTGTGTCCCCGTGCAGTGCGTTTGAAACGTGCTGCATGGGGCAGTTATTGATATAATCGGATCTCAGAGCATCTTTTGGATTTTAAGCAGGCAAGGGCAGTTGCTCACCTCGTCATGTGCAGCGCTGAACGCACTTGTTAGCAAGACTACACGTCTACCATTACCTCGTCTTCCCCTATGTGTGTGGTTTGGAAGAAAGTGCAGAAGTTGTGTGGCAAGTACACTCCGGACACAGCTCCCATTTTGCAGGTTGCTTGAGTTAACATTGCAGAACCTTTTGAAGTTGCTACGGAAATTGGGAACTATCTTGTCCATGTCTCCCAAGGGCTTCATCTTTGTCCCTCATTTCTTGCATCTAAGTCTGCCAAGGAGCAATTGCCCTTGGATTTCTCCTCTAATGGAATGGAGCCATATAACGTACCTTTTACTCTCCTAGAATTAGACTCCACGCTTTCCGCTTGCTGGCCGTCGGCAGCAGGACCTGATGATTATCGGTGTGCTACAACATCTGCATTCCACGGCCCTTCCAGTCCTTTTACGTCTTTTCAATCTTATTTGGGAGTGAGGGGTTCTCCTTCAACAGTGGAAAGCTGCCACGGTACTACCGTTCCACAAACCGGGCAACTCAGGGCTTGATACCTCCCACTATCGTCCCATTGCCTTGACCAGTGTAGTCTGCAAGGCGATGGAACGATTGGTGAGTAGATATCTGATGTGGTTCTTGGAGACTCACAATAGTCTTTTCCCTTGCCAATGTGGCTTTCACAAGGGCCGCTCTACTTTGGACCCCTTGCTCCATTTAGATACGTATATTTGAAATGCCTTTGCTAACAAACACTCTGCCCTAGCAGTCTTTTTTGATCTCGAGAAGGCATATGACACCACTTGGAGGTATAACATTTTAGTCCAAGCCCACTCCTTAGGCCTTCACAGTAATCTACCAACCTTCCTTGCTGCTTTCTTATCTGACAGACATTTTCGGGTCTGTGTTGGCGCCTCGCTTTCCTCAGACTTCGTATAAGCTGAGGGAGTCCCACAAGGTTGTGTCCTTAGCACTACCCTTTTTCTCTTAGCTATAAATGATCTACCTTCCATTCTTCCATCGCATATTTGGTCGTCACTTTATGTGGATGACTTCACTATAGTTTATGCAGGCGCTGACTGTCGCCTAGTAGCAGCCTCCCTGCAGGATGTGATTGACTGAGTTTCCCATTGGACCACTTCTCATGGCTTTAAATTTTCTAGTACAAAAACCCGTTTCATTAACTTCGCTAGATGTCCCTTTATCTCAGATACTCCGTTGTATTTACACAGTTCACGTATTCCAGAATGTGATAGTCAAATTTCTTGGCCTTCTCTTGGATCGCCGGTTGACATGGAAACCTCACATTTCTTCTTTGAAGGCAATTTGCCATGGTCAGCTGAATCTCCTTAAAATTTTCATGCATCGTTCATGGGGAGCAGATTGTCGAACTCTCCTCCGTTTGCATTCCACCCTAGTCTTGTCCAAGCTGGATTATGGTGACCAAGTCTATTCTACAGCCTCTCCTACAACTCTTTTTAAGTTAGATCCCCTTCATCATCAAGGTCTCCGTTTCTACCTTGGTGCCATAGGTTCATACCCTGTTGAAAGCCTCTATGCAGAGGTGAATGTTCCTTCCTTGGCTGATCGTCGTGATGCTCATTGTCTTCATTACTTTGTCCACGTTCATGATCTTCGTGTTCCTTCTACGTATAGGTTAGTCTCAGACAATAGTAGAAGCCCATTGTTTGTTCGGCGCCCCTGCCTACTCCGACTGTTTTCTCTTCGTCTTTATTCACTCTGGTCTTCTCTCCAGTTGCCTCCTTTGTATGTTCATTTAGTGTCTGCCTTTTCCCATCCTGCTTGGGAAGTTCTGATGGTTCATGTCTATTCTCCCCCACTACTGTTCGCCAAAGCTTTCCTGCCTACATCTGCTCTGCTACTTGCTCTCTTTTTCTCGAGCTGCTTTGGTCACATGCTCATGCCATTGCTGTTTATACAGATGGTTCAGAGTCTTTTGACGGTGTTGGGTTCGCAGTAGTATTGCCTGATGATGATGTCTGAGGCCACTTGTTAGACTTGGCTAGTATTTTTACTGCCGAGTTGTATGCCATCCTCATAGCGCTTCTTTGTATTTCATATATGTCTCCTTCGATGTTTGTGATCATTTCATTAAGCAATTTGATTCCCCTCATTCATTAGTCCTTCGTTTTCAACTATGGTTGTGCCGTGTGGCTAGCAAAAACAAAGACATCATTTTCTGTTGGGTCCCTGGACATGTTGGTGTGCAGGGTAATGAACTAGCAGATCCTGCTGCGTGGTCAGCGGTACATGATCTTCCAGATTCCTATAGAGGTATTCCGTTCAGGGACTATTTTCTGGTCATTTCGGCCCGTCTCTGCAGCCGTTGGCAACAACGGTGGTCGGGCATGCACTTTAACAAATTGCGCTCTATTAAGCTGTTTTTAGGTTTGTGGCCATCTTCTTACCACTGTTGCCGTTCTCAGGAAACTGCACTCTCCCAGCTCCACATTGGTCATACGCGCCTCACCCATGGGTATCTCACGGAAAGACACCCTATTCCTCTCTGCGAGGTTTGTCGGGTCCCTATTTCGGTTCTTCACTTTTTTGTTGATTGCCCGGTTTACCAACGAGCTCACAGGATTTACCTCCAACGCCACCGCCAACCTACCACTCTTACTTTATCTTCTCTACTTGTAGATGGCCCTTCCTATGACTTGCAATCACTTTTTGACTTTTTGTCAGAAACTGCCGTACTGTACGAACTTTGACACATAGCTCTTAGTGTCCCTTCCAGTCCTTTTCTTCCCTCCACCTAGCTGTTTATAGCCTCCACACTATTTTCTGCCCTGCAGCGCTGTATGACCCTTGTCAGTTTAGTGCTTTCTTTGATTATAATTGTGATGGCGGACTTGTACTAGGTGAACAAGGGCAGCAGGTGTAAAGATACATGCCCAGCTTTTCCACTTTTGTCAGGATCCATCCCAGATCTCTCATTTGTGAGTCAAAGGTGTAGTTACTTGAGCCATAAGCCACTTTGATTCTTGACTTTAAAGTCTGAAATCTTTTCTTATCCCTGTCTGATAGCTCAGATTTTTCTGGCATACTTTCTTTGCGTTTGACAGTTATTCGGTGGCATTTTAGTTGCTTTTATTGTCATTTTATTTTCCTTCTGCAGTGTGGGGCCATGTGGGAAGGCTTCTTATTGCATTATGGGGCCCTTCAAAAAGGGCACTTGATCTTTATCCTTCCTTGAACCAAACTTAATCATCTCCCTCCTCTCCATTTAGACATGTACAACATGCTTGGATTAATCATTTCTCCAT